TTCAAAAAGGAGGATGTCTCAATGCGCTTCACAAGATATAAAGTACAGTGACTGTTTCCTGGGCAAACGCAGCAGCCAAAAACATGCACAGTAATGTTGCATAAACACCCATTAAATGAATTAGCAATTTTATTTGGTGGATTGTTAAGTAGCCATACTGTCAATATCCTGTTTGCTTCCCATCCGCAATGTTAATAAGGGATTCTGCTTTACTTGACCCTCTGCTTAATACGTTACTAGTTGCATTCTACAAATTTACTTTGGATAACTCATCCTATAAGTTGGTATCTTGAATCACAGACACGTTCTGCCCTATCCTGCGACTAGTGCAGGCGCTCAGAGGAGGTTGGACACGGATGTTTGGACACATCGTTCAATTTGTGGTCTGCACCATGGCCTCCCACCCTATTCTGTCACAAGATAGGGCGGGAAGCTATGGCCCAGTGCTTACTGGAAGAGAGGCGAGCAACCCTCCAAGTCACTGACCAGAGGCATGATGGATGAGGCATGGAACTCTTCCCTCCGATGAATTTGACGAAGGACGTCTGACTCGAGAGGGCCTGGACGGGTTCTCTCCTGTTAGAGGTCTCTTGTCTATTGGAGGGCTGCGCAATGGCCTCCTGCTCTATCCTGTGACAGATCACTTTCCCTTGGAGCAAGCGATCTGGAGTTTACTGTATTTCAAATAAACATTTGGGTTCATACCAACCAGGAAGCTCTTTAAAAAAATTCAAATCAGTCACTTTATTAAATATTCTACTGAACTTCAGAGAGTGGAATTAAGCGAGAGTGCGTTAATGGACATGTGGGGTTTGATGTGGGTGAAGGTGCAGATTCCGGAGTTTTGGATGAGTTGCAGCTTGTGAATGGTGGAGCTGGGGGAACTAGCGAGTAATGTTGGAAGCCACGTGTAACAAAAGTGCAAATGAGCGCTTCAGCGGCATTGGTTGTGAAGTAGAGGCAGAGGCAGGGAATATAGCAGATGTGAAGATAGGTGGTCTTGGTGAGGGTGACAGGAAAACTGGGAACCAGATGCAAGATTGTGTTCTGGTTCAAAGTGTTTGAGAGAGGCCGGGGAGCTGAGGTCAGAGCAGAAGAAAGCAGACTCTTTGGTAGGAGCCAAGGAGGATGGTTTCCGACTATCCAAATTACGTTGGAATTGGCTCTTCATTAATACAATAAACTTAAGTGTAATAACAATAGTTTTGTATTTGATGCAATATACTGTTCATTAGCATTTTGTACACCTGCCAGTATCAGAATTTGCGTAAATTTCTATAAATTATTCTATGAACTTGAAGGCTTACAACATTATAGGAGGAGATGCTGGCAAAATCACACTGAATTATGTTGTTCACTGAAATTTGCTAACATTAAATTCCACTTTTGAGGGAAAAAAAGAGCAACTGAAGAAAGAGAAATCATCTTGAAAAATATACAATATTTTCTACCACTGATATTTCAATATCCAAAGGCACACACAAGAAACATTCCTTCTTTATAGTCCTCAATTCCAGAAAACCACAATCCAACAATGGTCATTACAAGAAACCTTTTAAGGTTACAATAATTATGTGAGACACAGACTTTATTGCCTGCATCTACATCACATTTACCAACTTGAACTCTTCCTTTCTACCTTTACCCATTTACACGTCAACAATGTTGTCTTGTCTCCCTTCACCAACACCAGCTTACAATTCAGTATCCATTAACATAGTAACACAAGCAATCCATAAGGGAGTATTAACCTAAAGTGCATGGCAACCAAATGGCAATCAGCAGCAAATAAATAATGTTTAATTTAGCTTTGCCAGATGGGCCACTAGAAAAAAAAGATCATTAGGAGAACAAGACAAAGGAATAAAGTACTCAAAAAGACTCCAATAATTTGTGTAATTTTTTAAAAATCAACAAATGTAATCAAATAAAAAAATAACTATAATTGTATTAGTCACAACAAACATTACAGGGACATTAGTAGTTAAACCAAATACAAGTCAACTATTAGTTAATGGATCTAAGCATTGTAGATAATAAATATAGGCAAAGAAGATTGCAATATTTAAGATTACAGACCCTAAAAACTGCAGCATCTCTTTTCTTGTTGCATATCATTTAAAAAATCTGAAATAACACTACAACACTGCTTCTGCTAGTTTTCAGTTAGCCAGTTTCCTAATTAAAGTACAAGCTTACAGCAGGAGAAAAAACACCGCAGAAAGGAACTCAGAGTACCTTTATTCCAAAGAATGAGTCAGTTTCATAAATTCAACAATAGGAAAAGTTCCAAATGTTCTTGACAAATAAAAGTAATGCAACTGAAATATCTCCCCCTAAACAAAACCTACAATTTGTTGGTATTTTCATGTATTTCTTCTGATCAAATAGTACTGGATACAGTTGATTTTGTATGTCATCTTAACGCAATGGCAGACTCTCAGTGCCCTTTTCTCTGATGAAAACAGAGTGTTAATTTACAAAATAGCAATAAAAGTAAATGCACATTGCAATTGATGTGGCTAGAAAAAGGAACTGTATTTTTAAAAAGGAAAGATGCCGACTAAGCCTCCATATTTAACATCAAAGTCACCGGGTGGGTCTATTTAACTAATCAACAGATATTCCTGGAAGAAAAAGAATCCTGCAACCAATGAGATTTCTCTTCCAAGATATCTGCACAGGCCAGAAGTGAGCAAAAAAAGTCAGAAAACCCATCCCTAAAGGAAATGCACACCACTGTGTCATTTTGTTTTCACATGGAATAATGTGTATGTAAATTTACAACATAGACACCTTTATTCTCAAAACAGTTGCAGTAATTAGTTTTACAGCTACATGCTGCAGTGTGCTCTTGTATTAATCAAAACAACTCTCCGAGTGCTTAGAGATTATAACTGCCCCACTTAAGATTATTTGAATCATAGATTCATTTGAAATGGAGAATATAGATTAGGTGTATTTGCCTAAAGTTTTTAATATTTCTCAACAAAAGGAGTATTTGACTAGAATATCAGGAAAGTCAGCAAGTGTGAACGTGTGCACATAATGTGTTTTAAACTGCATGTATATTTATACTACCACTGTATTGTGGAATATTAAAGACACAGGAACATAAAAAGGAGGGGGGAGGAGGCTGTGCACCTACAACCAAACAGGAAAAACAAAATTCATGACACGTGTAACTATAAAAAGTGCATGTACCAGAAGTAAATGTACCCTTTTTTAAAACTAACTTACGAGTAAAAAAATATGCAATATCCTAGTGTACACCCATTCGTTGAGTTTTAGTAATCTTCAGTTCTAAAATCGGCCTTTAGTTTTAAAATGCCAAAGCTTTAACTGTAGCTCACACATTTTTAATTTGATAAAATAATCCTTGAATTTATGAACGCTTTAGCATTTAATAAAATAATCCTTGCATTCGAAAATACAAGCCCCTATTTCTACCAAAATGAATCCCTGCATTTCAAAAATGATAACATGCTGCTGTGAACATATTTTCCCTCCATTTTATTTCTTGTCAATTTCACTCCCAACCCATTGAAAGGTTTACATACATTAATGTGACCTCCAGTTTTGCTCATTTCCAACTGAAACGGGAATTTACATACAACGTGCAAAACACAGCTCACTCTGAAGAGAGAGAGAGGGGGGGAGTCTCAAAACTCTTCTGACAAATGCAAAATTGAGTGGGGGATAGGAAGAGAAGCTACTGTGTGTGTGTGTGTAAAAAAATAAAATGTACACCCATGTGCCTGACTGCCTTGTTATCACGACTTGCCTCCCAATAGCTGACAGATGATTTTCCTCCCAGTAACAGCCCCTCCTCCGCCATAAATAAAAAAAAACCATGAAACTCGTGAAAAACTGCGTCAAATGTGCTATCTGGAGTAATAAAACAGGGAGGGAGGGAAGGGGGAGGGGGGAAGGAGGGAAGAAAATGCAGAGGCACTGACTGCACTCACTGCCCGAGCAAACTACCGCACAGCGACCCCAATCTCCATTTTAGAGCAACTGGAGGAGGAAAGGAGGGGAAGGAGAGAGAGTGAGTGAGAGAGAGAGAGAGAGAGAAAAAAGGAGAGAAGCAGAAAGGCAGAGCAGGAGGGGGTTGTGTGGGGTGGGGAAGCCTGTGCATTTTATCACCGTGTAATGGGAAGGCAAAGGGCTCTGCCAAAAGACTGGTTGCTTTTGGCAGAGGAAAGGCCTCCCTCTCCTCCCTCCCTCCCTCCCTCTCTCTCTCTCTCTCTCCCTCCCCACACACACACACACACTGCGGCGGGTGCGTTCATTTTCATGATGGCCGCGAAACCTCTCGGGTTTTGCATCGGGGGGAGGGGGGAGGGTGGACAGAGAAAGAAGCGGAGGAGGGGAGGGAGGGAGGGAAGGAAGGAGGAATAAAAGCGGGGGGGGGGGGAGAGAAAGAAAACAGAGAAGAAAGGGGGAAGAGAGAGAGAGAGAGAGAGCGATAAAGGAAGCAACAGCAGGAGGAGGAGGAGGAGGGAGAGAGGAGGAGGAGGAGCAGCACAGGCCACGCACTCCCACCGCTTCAAAACACAGCACTTCTTCTTCTTATTATTATTATTATTATAATGATTATTATTATTTCAATCGAGCGGCCGTTATCCACAGATACATTCTTTTTTATATCCCAACCCAAATAAAAAAAAACACAACACGCGGGCGGGAGGGAGGGAGGAAGGTGTTTTTTTTTAAAAAAAGAAGAAGGTGGTGGAGTGTGTGTGTGTGTGGGAGGGGGGGATAGAGAGAAAACGCCGAGGGGGGAGAGAGAGAGAAAAAAAAATCGTCTAGAAATTTCTGCGGGGTTTGGCCCCGGGGGGCGCAGAGCCGAGACCCCCCCCCTACCCACCCCCGGGCTCTTGTTTGACAGGAGATTTTACATTAAACATCACATACACACACACACACACACACATATATATATATATATATCCATATAAAAAAATGACATGAAATAACCAAACCGCTGTCTTACTCACCATCCTGACTGACTGTCTGTCTGTCTGTCTGTCTGTCTGTATCGAAGGTTAAGTCTTCCGAGGAGGAGGAGGGAGAGGGAGGGAGAGGGTGAGGAGGAGGAGGAGGAGGGGGGGAGGGGGGACTCGATTTAAAACAGGAACCCGGCGGGCGGGCGGGCGGACGACTCGCTCTCTCTCTCTCTTTCTTTCTTTTTTTCTCTCTCACTTCTTTCCTATTTCCTTCAACCCGTTTTCTCTCGTCAATTTTTTTTAAAAAAAATCTTTCCGCTCCTCCCTCCCCTGTGTGTGTCTTCTCTCTCTCTCTCTCCTTTTCTCTCCAACGCACAGTCAACTGCGACGCCCGCCGCCCGCCCCCCCCCCTCTCTCTCTCTCTCTCTCTCCCTCCCTCTTCTCTCTCTCTCTCGTTAGCTCCCGTCGCCTCTCCTCGGGTGCGAACCGTGTGTGGAGCTGTTGAGTGCGGTTGGTTGGTTGGTAGTTAGTGAGGGAGGGAGGGGTGGGTAGTGGTGGTGGTGAACGACACAGCCGGGATATCACGCTCCGACGTGACGTGACGTGAGCGGCGGCGGCGGTTGACGGCTCCGAGCGCGCGGCGCGGCCGTTAGTTGCGGGGGGGGAGGCGGGAGAGAAGGAGGAGAGGAGCACGTGACTGCTAACTGCGGACCAACGAGAGAGAGGTGGGGGGGAGAACCGCTCGACTCGACTCAAGTCTCGTGTCAGTTGTGGTCAGCCATTTAATATGACTTATCGTAATATTTATAGATAATAGGATATTCAACGGGTCCTGAGGCCACGTGTCAAACCGAGTCCTCCGCCCCGCCCCGTGTCCTGCCCGACTGCCTGGCCCGGGGTGGGACTTTTTTTAAAAAAGAGAACTGGTGGGTAAAACGTGTGGCGGGTTCGAGGCAGGTCGGGGGCCATCCCAAAGCAGCGAGTGCGCCTTATGGTGTGGGTGTGTGTGTGTGTGGGGGGGTGTGGGTGTTGAGGTGTGTGGGGGGGTGTGTTTCAGGGGGAGTATTGGGGGTGTGTGTGTGGGGGGGGTGTTTGGGTGTTGAGGTGTGTGGGTGTTGAGGTGTGGGGGGGGTGTTGGGTGTGTGTGTGTGTGGGGTATGTGTGGGGGTGGGTGTTGAGGTGTGTGGGGGGGCGGTATGTGTGTGTGGGTGTTGAGGTGTGTGGGGGGTGTGTGTGTGGGGGGGTGTTGAGGTGTGTGGGGTATATGTGTGTGTGTGTGGGGGGGTGTTGAGATGTGGGGGGTGTGTGTGTAGGCCCGGACATGGACGTAGTGCACACCCGAGCGATTCTCGACTGCCCTAAAAGGAGCGACCCCCCCCACCCCCCAAAAAAAATATGTATGCGCAACCTGTGCGCTGTGAACCTGTCCACACTCCCCACTGAGAGAGGGTGGGGTGTGGGGATAGGGAGGGGTGGGGTACAAGACCCCCCCCCCATCTGTAACTGCGCCTCGCAAAGGGCGGTAGGACCCCCAAGGCGGGGAAGCCGCCGTCCCTTCACCAAACTGGAGGGCGCAGAGGCGAGCCCTCCGCCCCACCCCCAGCCACAACGGTCCGGGTCTGCTGCTCCCTGTAGCGGGATAATAACGTGGCGCCTTCTTTTCTGTTAACGGGTCTGAGACGAGCGGAAATATATCAACAAATAAATATATATATATTTAGTTTCAAAAAAACTACCCAAAAAAGCGGTATAATAATGAACCGAATATTTTTAAAAAAGCAATGAGAAAATATTTTGGTTAGAAATGCTCGTTCGACCACAGTTGGGGAGTATTGAGTTCAGTTTTTGGCAGAAGGCATATCGCAATCATGAACAGCACAATACTCCAGCACAGATTTACTGGGATGATACAAGGGATCAAGGATACAGTTATATGATAATAATCCTTGCATTTGAGATAGCACCTTATCACGTCTTCGAGACATCTCAAAGTGCTTCACAGAATATACCGTAAAGTGAATTGACCGTATATTTTGTGGGCAAAACCCGCACAAACAGTCTTGGATTGAGTGACCAATTATAATTTTTTTTGAAGGAATTATTACCCCCAGAAAAGTGATCCGCCAATCGCCTAACAACCGGGTCCTACTTACTGCTAAGTAAACAGAGACGTGTGGAGTAAGGAAACTTGCCCACCGTTTTGCCCTGCCGGGAATCGAACCCAGGTCTCTCGCTTGCAAGTTGAGTGCGTTAATGACTGAGCTACCTTACATGTAGATGTGAATCGTTGTCATTGTCTGCAACAGGGAAGATTAAGAGGCTACTTTTAATCAGATGAATAGAAAAATATTTCTTTTTCTTGCACTGAAAGTTATTGTGACTCATCTGGTGAAAAAAAAGTTTCAACTGCTCCAATAAGCAATTTTCATTCTACCTATGTTCATTTTTATTATTAATTTTAAAGCATAAATCAATTAAGAGACCATAATGAGGGATTTGGTATGTCCTCTGAAATTAGTGACACATGATAGGGTAAAACTCCACTGATGTCTCGCTCACGTGATCAAGTGAAACAAGACAGTGAGTGTCAGCAAGCTATGTGACTGTGGATATGACACTGGAACCTATTCCTGATTGCACAAGATGTTCAGTACATGCAAACTTTTCAGCACGGATCACTCTTTAATGACGAGGAACAGATATTGTGTTATATTTTCTTTCCCTAGTCAGAAGCACAAAATCCAATTGTGCCTCCCTGCTGTCCTGTGATCGGGGTCCCTCTGCCTCCTTGTCGCCTCGACCTCTCTGCCTCCTTTGACACTGTTGACCACTCCATCCTCATACACCGCCTCTCTGCCTTACTTAATCTTCGCAGATCTGCCCTTGCCTGGTTCGATTCCTATCTCTCACCGTCTCCACTTTGTTGCCGCTAATGGTTTCTCCTCCAGCCCCCACACTGTCACGTCTGGCGTCCCCCAGGGCTCTGTCCTTGGCCCTCTGCTCTTTAATATCTATATGTTGTTGACCTTGGTGACATCATCCGCCGACATGGGGTCAACTTCCATATGTATGCGGATGACACCCAATTCTTATCTTTCTGCCTCCACCCTCAACTCCAGGACCACTGCTGTCCTGACAGACTGCTGTCAGACATCAAGTCCTGGATGAGGGCAAACTTCCTTCAGTTGAATGTGAACAAGACTGAGGCCCTCCTGATTGGCTCGCGCCAACGCCTCAGCACCTCAGGCTCTGGCAGCATCAACCTCCATGGTTGCACACCTCAACTCACCAAACCAACCAGGAACCCAGGTGTCTTGTTCGATCCTCAACTGTCTTTTCTTCCCCACATCCAAGCCATGACCCGCTCTGCCTTCCCTCACCTCTGTAACATTGCCCGACTCTGCCACTACCTCACCTCTCAGGCCGCTGAAACTCTTGTTCATGCCTTCATCACCTCCAGGCTCGACTATGCAAACGCCCTACTTGTCGGCCTTCCCAACTCCCTCCACAGGCTGCAGATAATCCAGAACTCTGCAGCCCGTGTCCTCTCCCGCACCAAACTCCATGACCCCATCTCCCCCACTCTCACCCGACTCCATTGGTTCCCTATCCTTCAGAGGATCCAGTTCAAGATCCTGATCCTCACCTACAAAGCCCTCCATGGCCTTGCCTCACCCTACCTCTGCGACCTCCTAACCCCCTACCAAACTGCCTGTTCCCTCCGGTCTGCTCCACGTCACCCGACCCACCCACCCCACCATTGGCGGGAGAGCCTTCAGCCACTCTGCCCCCAACCTCTGGAACTCCATCCCCCAATCACTCTGCCTCGCCCCCTCCTGAGCCGCCTTCAAGTCCCACCTCAAAACCCTCGTCGACTATGCCATTGGTCACCCCCCACCCTCTCCCCCCTGACCCCAGCTCGGGTCTGAAATCCTGTACACTGCCCAGGACCTTGGGATGTCCTCCCGACATGAAAGGCGCTATACAAATATAATCTTGTTTTTGTCCCATCTGAGATCAGCGAACTTAGCAAAGGCCACGATTCAAGCCTGGTACCTCTAGTTTGTTAGGATCAGACAAATTTAAATTAATTCTGAGACAATGGGAAAGTAGATTGTACCACTGATTATTATAAATTGCCGAATGCAATTTGCAGTTTAAATTGCTTTCAGAAGCAAGATTCTGGGGTGGGGATGGGGAAGGAGAAAGAAGATATAAATATTTTCTTTCCAGACAGTACACTCACCCTCATTCATATACCCTTCCTCATTCTGATCGGGATATATAATCTCCCATAATATTATATAATATATAATAATAATTATATAATAATAATCATCTTTGTATTTAGTATAGCATCTTTCACATTGATAAGTTGTCTCAAATAGCTTCACAAGATTTACTGCAAAGTATAGTGACTACTTTGTATGCAATCGCAGCAGTCAATTTGTGCACAGCAATGATCCACAAACAGTCATCTTGCGAATAAAATTTTTATCTGGGGCATTGTTGGGCAGCACACCAGGAAATTAAGTACTGTATTCAGTAAAGTAGGTGATTGAAACTCTAAACCAATAACATTGTAGTTCTTTGGTCTCAACCTCAGTGCACTGACCAAAATTGATCTAACCTGTGAATAATGCCTCATTGTTCTAAGATGATGATGGCCAGAAAAATCCATCCACCGAATATTACTTTGAACAGTCAACCTGTTATTCTGTAATGTACAGTTGCAGGCCATTAGAGCATTCATGTCAAAATACATTGCTGAATCTCATGATATTGTACAGATGCATGAGCATTTGCATAAATTTGGCTATATACACACAATATTACAGGCTATAAATAGCATAGATCATGATGTGAGATTCAGTAACAAACATGCGCATTATCAGTTATCAATGAAAAGTGCAGTGGTCAGTGTACAGTTAGCCTCATATGCAGACATAAATTTGAACCTCAGGCAAATATACTGGAGCTCCAAATGTATATACAGGTACTACTGAATTGATTGACATAATAAAGAATACTGGGGAAAGCAGTGTTCATCCATGTTTTCCT